AATAATAATAATAATAATAATAATAATAATAATAATAATAATAATAATAATGGTAATTACATAATGCATAACTATAATGCTTTTTTTTAATTAGAAAAATATGGAATTATAACTGCTATTAATGACAAGTATAATAGCTATATAATAATAATAATAATGATGATGATGATGATGGTAATTATAATAATTCGGAAAGCTCCTGACCTTCGATGAAAATATGTGCTACTTACCTCACCATTCGTAGTAATGCATTGGTACGTCTTCGTCTTTGCCGCCGTAAATGACCCTGAAAATATTGTGCAGCGGTAATCCTGCGAGAGTGGACCATGTATTTATTTGTTTCAAAGTGCGCATGTCTATGGATTCTGATTCTTCGTCGGTTTCCTCGTCGTTGTCGATGGCATCGAGGAGACATTGGTGACATTTGCATTTTCCGTCCTTCCGACTGCTAGCATCGCACTCTATTCCACTTTCGTAGGAGCCCTGTTCACTGTCCGAATCGTCCTCGCTGCTGGTTGTATATTCTAATTCATTGTCCGCCCTTTCGCCGGCGTCTGAATCAGAGGTCTCTATTGATGTGTCGTTCATTTCCTCCGTATCCTCGGAGGGCGTTTTCTGTAACGCTTCCATTTTCCGGATTCGTGAAATAACGTTTCGTGCGTGTAAACGAACGTTTCGCGTACAAAATGAACAGGTCCTGTTCCAACGAGCACGGTGTACAAAATGACCCGCGTCTAAAACAACACCGCCGACTGTACATACATGTATATACGTTATACATACGTATTACGTTACGTCGCGGCTATGTTTATGTTTACGTTGCGGCGCCAGATAATACAGTTGCGCGTGATCAAATTTCATAATAACGGAATAACTATTCGCCGAATCTATCGAAACTATCTAATAAACGATTTCGGCGTTCGGTGAACAGATCACAGGGATGGTTTTACCGTTTCGCGAATTACCGGTCGAGGAGATGATCGGTATCGGCGCAAGCAGTCCACGTTACGACGTTATTTCGATTCCGAATAAACGAAGCAAAAATCAAATTTTTATTGTTACACCTTTAGTCGCCGCTGACAAAGTCGTCGCATCGGGACACAGAAAAAAAATGTAACACGAGGGAAGTATTTTCAAACGAAATTGTAGTATCGATGAATTCTTGGCTGGTGCGGTGGTTTTACTTGTTAATAAGTTGAAATCGACGTTCTCTTCCATATTCTTCATTCTTCTTCATTTATTTATTTAATATGATCCTCATCTTTTGGCTTGGCCTCCGGCTCACAACTTTCTTTTCGTTGCATACTACTTGATAATTGATACTTGATGTTAAATTGACTTAAACTAAGCTATAGTATTTTATAATATACTATATAATATTATTATTTATAACATATTTTAAAAATATTATATTAAATATTATATTAAATATTATATTAAATATTATATAAAAATAGTATTTTTCTATAAAACTACAAATCTATTTAATTCTTCTCCTTTTTTGCATGTCTATGCTATATGTCTCTTTGGTTTGGTTTTGAACCTGCGAGTCTTCTATTTCTTTGTCTTGTTTCTCCTTTTCTCTTTCGAGCTTCTCAATATTTTATGTTTCGCTTATCGATTTAACACTATTAATTAATACTAAAATTATTAAGGAAACAATGTAACTTTCAAGTTCCTCCAATTTCTCGCAACAGTAGCAGAAAATTTGTATTTTCTAGTAATTACTAGACTGCCGATTTTGTGCACATTTATGCAAGATATTATTATATCTTATATATATATTAATTATATATATATTATTGTAATTATTATAATATTAATATAATATAATTAATATATTATAATATAATATGAACAATATTATAT